CCGATAGGTCTAACTCAATCTGACCTAATGACATCATTATCACATGGCACAGCTGATTGGTTCTCTCCTATATCGGTAGCCAATGAGCTCGCTGCTCAACGTTCAAATATATGACTAGTGCTTGCCGTAGCAGTTGCAGCTTGCTTCAGAAACCCTCCACCTTCCCCAGCTCCACCTGTATAGATCTGCTATGAGGTGATTCATGTATGCAATATGGGGGTTATATGTATATATATATATATATATATATATATATATAAAATCTATGTATGTATAGACAGTCCAAAGAGTTGAGATGTTAAAACTGTTGATATTTCTTGTGGTCTATACAGAACACTAGGAATTTAATCTCAAGTACAGTTGCATTGCATTGTGGGAAGCATTATTGTACTCCATGTTTGTTGATATGTTGTGTTGTAGGTGGATGGAGGTTATCCGCAGCGCCACCTGCTCCTCCAGTCACATCCGCTCACTGAGCCGCAAAGAGCCACACGTCTACTGACCAAAGACCCTCGACAGCCTGCCTGAACACACACACGTCAGGTTCTCTATCAGGTCCTCTCAACACACTTTAAAATGTTTCTTATGGAAGTTTTTCGTGTGCTATATCGTTGTTTCACTTTATTGAAAAATTCAGAAGCCTTTGAATGGGTTTAGATGTAAAGTTTTGTAACGAGAATATGGATTCAGTGCCAGGAAATACACATGATCACAACATCAGGTCAAAGAGAAACACTTCCAGTTTTGCAGTTCATTTTAAATTTGTAAAAGACACAAAATCCTCGTTAGTAAACAACAGTCCTCGTTCATGAAATGCAAGTACTGATTTGTGTAAATCATTCGTAAAATTTGTAAGAATGCTTTCAGGAATGATTTATTGAACTGAATGCAGTGGTTATGTTGAATGCGATGATTTATTCTTTTGAAAGTTTTATTGATTTGTATATGAGAGTGTTCTATAAATGGTTTATTGAAGGCTTTAGTGTACGTGAGACTGGTTATACTGAATTGAATGTGACTGTTTAAGCTGAGAACAGTTTTACGAACAATTTACACATGAATTTCTTGTTGGTGTTTCATGAATGAGGCCTAATGCCTGTAAAATTGGTCAGTGAAACATCTCTGGACTGTTTTTAAATGTAGTAACACTAGCCTTTTATTACTGACTTCTGGTCTGATGTTTTTAAATGGTTGACGCTTTCTGTCTACATCTCAGTGAAAAAAAAAAAAAAACTGTGTGCAGGTCATATTTCACTCCAAAATAGCTTGGAGAGAAAAAAAAAAGATTTTTTTTTAAGAATTAAGTTTTTTGTTTTTGCATTGACAATTGGCCTTTTTTTGTGCAATTAAGTGTTTAGGTTTTTTTCCCTTTACAATTTGCCCTGAATTTTTTATTAGTGTAATACAAACGAATATATAGTACAATTGTTAGTTTACATAATGGTATTACTTTTTGTGCAAAATTAAAATTTATCTGATTTTCATTAAAACACTATTCTATTTTTTTAAAAATAAGTTTTTTTTTATGCATTGTCAATTTGCCCCATAATGGTATTACTTGATGTGCATAATTTATTGATTTTAGTTTAACTAAACTAACTGACAACTGATTTTCACTAATGTATTACAGTAGTTTTTTGAGCTTATCATGAAAATGTCGCAAGGGGAAAAAAATCAAATTTTTAATAATTATTATTATTTTTTTTTGGGGTGAAATGACCTGTGCGTGTCTCAGCTCACACCAGTAGACGCGTCTATGGATTTGTAATGTTTTAGGTCGGTTTTACGGCACATGCTGCCTTCAAGCATTTGTACCACACTCAAACCTTTCTTTTGTAGGATTTCATTTTTATACAAGTTTTGATACTAACTGTGAACCACTCCACACTAGTTTTGTGAGGGATTTACTACACAATCCCTCATAGTTAGCCATTATTCTGTCATGGTACAAGAAAAAAAAAAAGAAGAAGGAAGCCAGCTGCCTTTTGTCGAACTGCTTGAGTGCCAAAATTCTTCTCTTTAACCTTTTTTTTAAGCATTTGGAGCATTTTAATTATTTCTTAATGCGCATATATATATATATATACAATATGGATTATATGTTGGCAGAAATGTATGTTTGACACTGTGTGAACATGTTCAGAATAAACAAATCCATATATATATAGATGTGCTGCCTTTGTCATTTACATTTTGAAAAAACAAAATTGAAAACATTCTGAATTATGTTATTGTAAAGTGCAATTTAGAAAACTCATAATAAACACTTCTACAGCATATGAACAAATACACCTGATCTCTAGATATACAGTACTAGTGTGTTTTGCTAGTGCACTACATTTATTCAAGATTAAGTGTCCATAATTTTTTACATATTATAATAGATTGTTCCCAGATCCTTTTACAGTTGACTCTTTTGCAGTCCCTTGAATGAATTCCCTTATAAATTGTCCTTTGATCCTGGTACTTTTTGAGGTATCACATATTTATATACCACAAATTTAAATTAATGTCATCTGATACCACATTGATACCACACTGATAACACTTGCCGAGTGCCAATAAAAAAAATAACTGAAACTGAATAAAACGAAATGATCAGATTAACTAGAGTGTAAATGTAGATCACACATGAATGAACTGACATAGAATGTCTAAAGAAAACATCTGACATCTAACGTTAGATAATATACCATCAGAAGTTGATCTAGGATGTCTCAAGATTTTTTTTTCTTCCTGTGATATGAAATATTCCTCTGGAAAGTGACGTGACACTGGCAGGTGTGGTAAAATGTGAAATTCTGGACCCTGTTGTTAACCGATACCAGTACAGTATTTACTTAGGGCTTCTGTCCTCACGAGATACATATTCCAGTCCATGATCACCGTTCGCATCATAACTCTCATATGTTGGGTTTTGGAGCCACTCGGGATGGTATGTAGTCGTGCTGTACACAAATGTCTCCACAATGCTTCCAGGCTTCAGTGTGTTGTCCCCTTCACCGTCCCCGTCCTGCACCTCCAGCTGGACTGCAGTGCGCTGGTACATCTTTGGACAGCCTTCAAACCTGTCCAGGAAGTGCAGCATCTGCTGGTCCACACTGTAGATTTCACCGTGGACACGCTGACCCATCCCGGGCACATTCAGCAGGAAGGGGATATTATATTTGGTGGCAATCACGAGCGGGTATCGCTCTACGGTTCGAGCGTGAGCGAGGAACTCTGCCCGGCCGTTGGCAGCATCCAGCATCCTGCAATTGGGCTGGCCTTTCTTCAGCGTGCCGTAGACGAAGGCACGATACATGTGAACCACAGGAAAGACGACAGTAACAATGAGCTGTGGTGAAAGAGACATTGTCATTCAAAATCAACTCACTGACAATTAAAGGTCTTTTTGACTGGCTTTCATCCAGAGGTGCCTGGAAAAGATTGACATCTCATGATATTTCCTACTACTAATTAATTGATTACATTTATTTCAAGAATTTAAACTTGTGATCCGTTAAGCATTATATAAGTTAGTATTAAAAAAGCTTTTGAGATTTTTAGATCAATTGCTGTAAACAAGAACATTTGCTTAAATTACTGAGGGCCAATGTGTCTGTTGCCAAATATTTGTTAGATATTTTGTTCCAAAGTGTATAAACACTTGTATGATTTTGTATCACCTTTCACATAGATATTTACTATTTAAAATGTAGCGTTTTTGACACTGATGGCCCATGTGCCTTTAAATATTAGACGGCAAAGTCTATAAACATTTGTATGATCTTTATATCACCTCTGACATCGATATTTAAACAGATATATTCATTTTTCTCACATGCCAAATACATGATTTGTTGCATACAGCTGTAGGAAACCTTAGTACTTCAAATACAAATAAGACATAAAATATTGATAATGGTGTCAAATGTTGACCCAAACAATATTTATCCAAAAGTAAAATTACAGAATGACAAATGTTCATGTCTTTTACATATTATTTACATTTTTAATGTCTACATGCATATTTATGTATAGTTATTTAATAGAATTAACAGTTAATAACGTGCTAATTATATAGATCTGACAATTAGTTGTTTATCACATAATAAAAGCATGCAAAACACAGATATACAGTAGGCCTATGCATATTTAATACAATTACGTTTTCAGACGGTGAAGTTTCAAGGAAGTTGACTTTTATTCTATTCAAGCCAAGCTGTCTTCTGCTCATTTAAAAGAGCAGTTCAGTTCACATGAAAACACAACAACACTAAGCACATGAACTCTTCATATGCTGCACATAGATACTCGCTGATATTAAATCAGTTCTCCAAACATCTAATCTTACCAATAATATAATGAATCCCCAACAACATCCGCCATACGCTAGTGCTGCTAGTCCACCGGTCAAGACAGGCAGCAAAATACTAGCCTCGTTTCATTGTTCATTGGATAAAGTTGGATTGTCACTCACCTGCAGTTAAACCAATTAATGTTGCCGTTTCAAAGCGGGTCCCGCCTTCTGAATGTTTGCCGTTGCTACGAGATTTTCGGCATCAGTGAACCGTGTTGGGGAAAGTTACTTTTAAAAGTAATGCATTACAATATTGCGTTACTCTATAAAAAAAAAAAGTAACTACTTGCGTTACTTTTTATGGAATGTAATGTGTTACGTTACTTTTACGTTACTTTTAAATCTGGAAAGGGCTTGCTTGTTTGTTTTTAAAATAAAAAAGTTCTATTTTTGGCAAATATAAATGCCTTTTCACACCAAGAGTGAAATGAATAAGCCTCAGGCTGAAGAGAAAGTAAATTTACGTCCGTACAGTCGAATGCAGAATAAGACATTTCAACACACTTCAGCAATAAAAAAAGACACAAATGTTTGTCTAGAGTAATTTGTGCTTATTAGTACGGTTGAACTGGATCATCGAAGGTCAGAAGCAAAGACATTGGTTAATACAATGGGATTAAATGCATAAAGCATATTTGTGATGTTTAATATTTAATTATTGCAGGTTTGAGTTACCCCCAACACTGTCAGTGAATATTCGTGAGTTTCCCGGACATGCGCGTGGAACTGAGAATTTTAGTTTACGCTCTCCTCGGGTTTAATGGAATATTTAGAAATGTGTCCATTAAAATTATGTAAATACATACAGACAGGCAACAAGATAAAGTAATAGTTTTCAGGCTTGTCAAACTACACACACTAATGACAGTTTTTCACATTTGCTAAGACACTCTACACCCTATTCTCTGAACCAAATTCTCAATAGCCTAAATCAGTTTGTCAAATAAATCACTCCTACTGCAAAACCTTAAACAAGTTAAGGCAGTTTAGACACTGTTTGCAGATCTCATGCACTCTTTTTTTTAAAAACTCTAAACACATTCTCACTCAAACGCAGTTTGCGCTGTGAAAAACTTGTGATGCAAAACCCTAAACACAAGAAAGCAGAAGTTAAGCACAACTGCAACACGGTTGTCACGGTTTACACACAATAATTCAAAACTGTTCACACTTGTTTCTAAATATGTGAATGTGCAAAATATAAGCCAGTTCAAAGTGTACGGCGTGGGTGCGTTCATCAATTTGAGAGGTAGGCCTACAGAAGAGTGCATATAGGAGGTGGAGGAAGAGCAAGACCAAGAACAGTCATTTCAAATGAAATCAGAGCTACTGTGATAGACCATTTTCTTGTGCATGGAATGATAGAGGCAGGACAAAGAGTTCAACCTAATTTGAGCTAAATTGATTCTCTGTGGCCACCATAATCAGTTGGAAAGAACAAAAGAACAGCAAAAGAAGAGTGGAAGAGAATCTTGTGTAGGATTGCAAGACTACCACGTTAGGGTGGAAGAACTGGCCTGTGGTGACATAAAAGTTCTGTCTTGTCAAGGCTGGATCCGCCACACCAGAGGATTTTTTCCCCTGTTGCCTGCCTGCGACGTAGATGAAGACCTCTGATTCTTTTTTATATGTATGCATGTGTGTGTGTGTGTATGTATGTGTATTAACCAAACTTAGGTGTGATTTCTTTTGTTTGTGTGTGTGTACAGGATTTTCTACACTGGTGGGGACTTAAACCTGAATACATACCAACTCATGGGGACTTGTGTCACCGTGGGGACCTAAATTGAGGTCCCCATGAGTACAAAAGCTTATAAATCATACAGAATTAGTTTTTTTTGAGATTGTAAAAATGCAGAAAGTTTTCTGTAATGGGTAGGTTTAGATGTAGGGTTGGTGTAAGGCGATAGAAAATACAGTTTTGGACAGAATAAAAACCATTACACCTATGGAGAGTCCCTACAAGGATAGTTAACCAGATGTGTGTGTGTGTGTGTACAGGATTTTCTACACTGGTGGGGACTTAAACCTGAATACATACCAACTCATGGGGACTTGTGTCACCGTGGGGACCTAAATTGAGGTCCCCATGAGTACAAAAGCTTATAAATCATACAGAATTAGTTTTTTTTTGAGATTGTAAAAATGCAGAAAGTTTTCTGTAATGGGTAGGTTTAGATGTAGGGTTGGTGTAAGGCGATAGAAAATACAGTTTGTACAGAATAAAAACCATTACACCTATGGAGAGTCCCTACAAGGATAGTTAACCAGATGTGTGTGTGTGTGTGTACCTACTTAACCATATTTTGGGGACAAATTTGTACCCAAAAGAGAGCAAAACCTGACAAAATCACCAAAAACCTCCATTTGGGGACGTCCTCATTTGTAAAACTGGAATAAAATGAAAGTAAACAAAGTGTTTTTGAAATTGTAAAACTGCAGAAAGTTTTCTGTGAGGGGTGGGTTTAGGTTAAAAAGTATTTCAGGACATTACATAGACTTCTATTGTTTATAAAAAAAACAATAGAAGTCTATGTAATGTCCCCATTTAGATAGCTAAGTAAAGTGTGTATGTGTGTGTGTTTATTGCAACATTTACTAACTTATTTTTTTTTTGTAACTGCGCTGGACACTGGACAATGTGTTCTCAATTTTTTAATGTAGTGTCTAATGAATGAACTGTAGTGTGTATATTATTGACTAATGTTTGTGTGAGTTGAAAGCTTTGTTTGATTTTGAGTACAGGTGAAATGGTTTTGGAGCGATTGTTTGATTTTGCCAGAAGAGTCGGGGGTTCTGTGAATTTAGTTTGAAGGTTTGGATTTGTGTTTAGGTTTTGAGAAAATGAGTGATGGTTTCAATAAATGGGTTTAATCAATTCAGAAAAACTGTAATGACACTAAATCTTAAACACTTTAGTATTTAAAGGTTTTCCGACATTTACACGAACGACTGTAATGACTGATAACCGATCAGTTCCAGTGGCTATATGTGCTGTTAACTGTTATAGTGGTCAAATGGCGCCATCTAGTGGTTAGTCTGTGTATCTGAGTAAAAGGCCTTTGAGATTAAAGTTAAGTTTTATTGCACTGTACTAGAAACAATTATAAACACATTAAAATGATTTTTGTTTGTTATCGTGACTATAGTTGACATATAAAGCTTTTTATATATATATATATATATATATATATGTGTGTGTGTGTGTGTGTGTGTGTGTGTGTGTGTAGGCTATTAAACATTTTCTAATGACTTAAATAATAATAATACTATTACATTTGGGTTTTGTTTTGTTTTGAATTATATATAATGCGTGTATTTTTTTTAAATGACAAAAGGCATTTTAGTTATACAAATGCTTTTGATAATGAGAAAAACATCTCCATTCCAAGCAGGTATAGAAAGCATTTTAAATAACTTGCTTTTAAGCATGTCATATTTTTCCAAGGTAAGTGTGTTCTTTCTTTTTTTTGTAGAAAAATATCAAGGACTTACTATAAAAAAAAAAAAATATAT